GAGGTGAAGCTATTATATCGGCAAATAGCATTCTTAACAAGATACCCCTTAAGAAAATAGAAGAAGCTCCATATGAAGTATAGAAATGTCACCTCATTCTTATCAATACTTGAAAGTATGGGGGTGTTTGGCTAAGGTTGGAATATCTAAGCCTAAACAAGTGAAAATCAATCATAAGAAGATTGATTGCATATTTATTGGGTACTCCAAAATTAGTAGTGCATATCATTTCCTTATACATAAATCTAAAATTCAAGATGTACATGAAGGAACAATAATTGAATCGAGAAATTCATCATTTTTCGAGAATATTTTTTCATATAAAAAAAAGGAAAATGTAAATTCAAATAAAAAGAATTTATGATATTATAAATGGCACTTAAAATGAGGAAGAACAAATGCATAGTAAAAGGGCTAAAATATCCACTTCGTTTGACCCAGATTTTCTAACCTATATGATAGAAAATGAACCAAAGACTTTCGATGAAGCAATGTCTACACCAGAAGCACCGCATTGAAAAAAAGCTATCAATAGTGAGATATATTCTATAATGCAAAATTATACTTGAGAGTTAATTGATTTACCTTTTGGGAACAAGCCTTTAGAGTGTAAATGGATTTTCAAAAGGAAATTTAAACCAGATGGATCAACTGAAAAATATAAGGTTAGATTGATTGCCAAGGAATATAGACAAAAAAGGACTTAACTTCTTTGATACCTACTTACCCGTAGCTAGAATTACCTCGATAAGGTTGTTAATTGCTATTGCAGCATTACATAACTTTGAGATTCATCAAATGGATGTAAAGTTGACATTCCTAAATGGTAAGTTAGAAGATGACATATATAGAGAACAACTCGAAGGGTTCATCTCTTCTAATCACAAACAAAAAGTTTGCAAATTAGTTAATTCCTTGTATGGATTGAAACGAGCTTCTAAACAGTGGTATCAAAAGTTTTAAAAAGTAATGTTGTGTAATGAGTTTAAGATATACGAGTGTGACAAGTATATATACATTAAACATACACCAAAGGCTTACGTAATTGTATATCTATATGTAAACGACATGTTATTAATGGCCAATAGACACGAAATAATGCTAAACACCAAGAGAATGTTAACAAAATATTTTGATATAAAATATTCTAAGTCTACTAGTGGTTGTTATCCTTTGAACCCATGGATTACTTGTTGAGTAATGATAGGTAGGGTTGCTATCATTGATGGACCTTTTAGTTCAAGAGTTTCAACCCATTCTATTCGAAGTAGATGTCACTAAATCTCTGTTTAGAGGTTTAGTTAATGGATCCGCTAAGGTCTCTATTAACTTAACATAATTTAGGAAAATTATTTCACTCTTGATTAATTTCCTTATGTATTCATGTCTTAGACTCATATGTCTAGACTTTCTATTATATACCTCATTGTATACTTTTGCTGATGTGGCTTGACTATCAGACATGATAGATATTGAAGATGTAATCTTCGGTCCCAAAGGTATCTCATAGAGTAGATCCTTCAGCTACTACAAATTCAGATTCAATAGTTTAGTATGTTATACATGCTTGTTTCTTCGATTTCCAAGAAACAACACCACCTCCAAAAGTAAACACCAAACCAGAAGTTGATTTATTTTCACCCGTGCTAGATATCCAACTAGGATATGTAAATCTTTCCAATACAGCTGGGAATTTAGTATATTATAGACCTAAGTTGGTTTTCTTTAAACATTCAAGAATTCTTCCAATGGCCTTCCAATGATCGTTGCTCAGATTACTAGTAAACCTACTAAGTTTACTAATTGTAAATGCTATATTTGGTCATGTGCATTGAACATCATACATAAGACTTCCCATCATTCTTTATTAGCTTTGAATTTGGATCAAGAGGGGTACTATATTCTTTTATGTTCAAATGTTTGAACCTATTATCACACTCTAGATATAGTGTGATTGACTTAAGTGATAACTTCTACTAAATTTAGTAACTTTGATACCCAAAATTGTATCCACTTGTCCAAGATCCTTCATCTTGAATGTGGAAGGTAAAAACCTCTTTGTTTCTTTTATTTCATCCATGTGATTACTTATAATCAATGTGTCATCAACATATAAACATATAAATATCACACAATCAATACATACTTTAGAATATAAACATTTATCTACACTATTATATTTAAAACCAAATGATGTAATAGCTAAATCAAATTTCTCATGCCATTTCTTAGGTGCTTGCTTCAATCCGTATAATGGCTTAACTAGTTTGCATACTTTATGTTCATTTTCAGGTAGAACAAACCCTTCAAGTTGTTCCATATAAACCTCCTCATCGAGATCCCTATTCAAGAATGACTTTTTGACATCCATTTGATGAACATGCAAGTCATATATTGAACCTAATGCGAATAATATCCTAATTGATGTTATTCTAGCTACTAGTGCATAAGTATCAAAATAGTCTATTCCTTTATTTTGTCGATAACCTTTAGCTACTAGTCTAGCCTTAAAGGTATTAAGAGAACCATCAACATTATATTTTCTGCTAAACATCCATTTACATCAATAGGTTTGGATCCGGGTGGTAAATCGACAAGTTCTCAAGTATTGTTAGACATTATTGAATCCATTTCATCCTTAACTACATCTTTCCAAAAAATGTTATCTCGAGAATTTATGGCGTCTCTGTAAGTTTAGGACCGGTTTCCACTTGTAGAACAAAAGAAATTGTTCTTAGAACATTCTTATCACTTCATTCTACTAAGTAAAAGGAAATAAGTTGAGAGTCAATTCCATCCGGTCTTAAAGATTTCTCAATTCAAGTTCTTTTGCTCCTTCGAGTTTCAATAATCAACATCTTTAGAAGATGTTTCATCCTGTGTTCACTAGAGCTGGGAATTTCTTTATTAATTTCCTCAATTCATTATCCGAAGACAGTGATTTCTCGAAGAACTCTACATCGTTGGATTCAATAATCACATTGGACTCCAAGTTCAACAATCGATAGGATTTTCTATTACTAGCATATCCAACAAAGGCACATTTGAGACCTCTTGGACCTAACTTAGTCATGTTAGAGTTCGTGTTCTTACAATAAGCAAAACACCCCCACATTTTGAAATATCCAATGTTCATTCTTTTCCACAATTCATAAGGAGAAACCTTAGTAAACTTAGAAGGAATCCTATTTAATATCCTACAAGCACTCAACAATGCTTCACCCCATAAATTAAACAATAATGCTAGTGGTACATAATTTTTGGGCATAATGGTTCACATAACACTCACATGGGGTGAAGCCCAACAAAATGTGGGCACCACCCCATGTAAGTGTTATTTGAACCCCTATGGATAAAAATTATGTACCCGTAGCATCATCTAAATTAAATGGCAACTTAGCATAAATCAACATGGCATTTATCATTTCAACTAAAGTTCTATTTTTTCTTTCAACTAAACCATTTTGTTCGGGTGTCCTAGTTGCAAAACATTGATGAACTATGCCTTGTTGTTCACAAAATAAATTAAAATCACTAGAAAAGTACTCACCTCTTCTATCACTTCTTAGAGTCTTTATTTTCTTACTTAGGTGATTTTCAACTTCATTTTTAAATACCTTAAACATATCAAATGTTTCATGTTTATGCTTCATCAAATAAACATACGTATATCTAGAGTAATCATCAATAAAAGTAATGAAATACCTATTACGAATACGTATACCTTAAACATATGTCATTTAATTCACATACATCAGTATGAATTAATTCTAAAATACTAGAAGTCCTATTAACAATTTGATAAGGCTTCTTAATCATTTTAGATTCTATATATGTTTTACATTTATATGCATCATTTTCATTATATAATATCATGTCACATTTCAACATTCTTTTCATAGTATTTTTACCTATGTGACCTAATCTAGCATGCTATAATGAAAATGAGTCAACAATATAAGCAAAATCAACTTTATTATTAAAAGACAATTTCAACAGTACAAAACTTGACCATTCATTCACTAAAATAGTCTTTTCCAGCAAAATTTCCATTTAGGGATAGTACAAGTTTACCGGATTTAAAAACACATTTTATGCCCGATTTTCTAAGAGATTTCAACTTACTAAATTCATATTCATATCAGGAACATGTAGCACATTTCTCAAGGTAACAGTTTTGGCAGATGTGAAGATGATATCCATATTTTTCACACACAAAACGACCACCTTTGATCTTCTTCTTGGAATTGTTAAAGTTCCTTGAAGGCTTTCTCTTGTTGGATTTAGTAAAAGGCTTGGTCTTCTCCATGGAATTGGCTTTAGATGTGCCTTCATAAGAATTATCATTTTTATCTCTTGCCCTCGATTCTTCCTCAATTCGAAATTTTTTTTGCAATTGTTCCAAAGTATAGTATCCGAAACTATGCATTATTTTCTTCTGGTATCATTTCCAAGTTTCGGGAAGTTTATCAATTATTGCTCCCACTTGGAAAGTTTTTGGAATCTCAATCTTGACTGACTTCAACTTGTTGACAAGCACTTGCAATTCATGAATTTGGGGAAGAATGAGAATATTCTCTAGAAACTTGAAATCGAAATACCTTGAGATTAAAAATTTCTTAGTGCCCTCTTCTTCGGCTTTGTACTTACTCTCCAAATCATTCCAGATTTTCTTTGTCAATGAAGTATTGGTGTAGAGATCATGTAACTGGTCTGAGAATGCATCCAGAATGTGACTGCGGCATATGAGTTCATCTTCTTGGTGCTTTTTATTGAGCCAATTTTAGATGAGGTTATTTATGTAATTTTGTAGATCCTCATTCATTCATAAGGTGTGAAGTTGCTGTCCATTTTGTATATATACATGTGTTAGTTGAAACCAATTTGTAATATAGAGAATTCGATTCTTAATAGAATTTCCCGCCATTTCCTTTCTTTATCTTTTACAATTCTCTGCAACTCTTCACGGTATTAGAGCAATTAATTGATACTTTCGTGTAATGGCAAAGGACTCAAGTGTTGCAGTAGATTTACAAAGTCAGTATGATCATAGAAATTCATTCGGCGATTCATCTATTGGAGAGATGGCTGCTGAAGATAGCAATTCAGTTCTCAACCGATTACTTTCAGATCCAACTAGTCCTTACTATCTTTACTATGGAGATAATACAGGAATTCAGATCATTTCAGTTGCTCTCACTGAAGACAACTACTTGACATGGAGTCGAGCTGTAATCGTGGCTTTTAGTGTCAAAAACAAAGAATGCTTTATCGATGGAACAATAGAGAAGCCTCGTAATGATGATCCTCTGTTTAGTGCTTAATGAAGATGTAATCACGTAGTTTCTTCCTGGATCATCAATTCCATCCCTAAGGAGTTTTATCCTAGTGTGATGTATAATGATTCTACAAGGGAAATATGGATCGAGCTTCGTGATAGGTACAACCAAGGTAATAGCACACGTGTATATGAATTGAAGAAGCTGATCGCTTCTATCTCACAGGAGAATGGTTCAATTAGCTCCTACTTTAATAGGTTCAAAGGACTTTGGGAAGAGTTGGATAATTATAGGCCTGATATTAACAGCACTTGCTACAAACAAGAGGATCATGTCATGCAATTTTTAATGGGGTTAGATGATCCATTTTCTGCTGTTAGAAGTCAAATGTTGTTAATGGATCCATTGCCTTCGTTAAACAAGGTATTTGCACTCATTTTGCAAGATGAAAGGCATAAAGATGCTACTGCTAAAAGGCCGCAACACTTTGATGAATGGACCAAATGGAAATCAGAGATATAACTTATACAATCTATCTCGGAGGAAAGAAAAACATTTATGTAGTTATTGCGGTATGTTAGGACATCTCAGAGGGAAGTGCTACAAACTCATAGGTTATTCTCCTGGTCATAAACTTGCTAGAGGCAGAACACCTATTGCTAATGCAGTGGCTCAAGTTCCAGCCGACAGAAAGTCTGAGGTAGTTAATTATCAGTCAAATGTTCCTTTTAATCTAAATCAGTATCAGCAACTCTTAGCTATGCTCGTTCCTCAATTGTAAGCACAATTATCCAATAGCAGTTCGAAATCACAAGATATTCCACTGGCTTCATCCGCTATTTTTGTGCATAAACATAATTGTTTTCTGATTTTTGTGCATAATGCTTGCCTTGTACGGGATCTTTTATCATGGAGGATGACTGGGGTAGGCAAACTTGAGGATGGGTTATATCACTTTCAACTTCTTGATCATCAGTCCAAATTCAAGTCCAACAGTAAGCCCTTCAAATTTCCTCAATTCATTGCAAATTTTGTCAAATCTTCCAATGATAGACTTGTTATATCATGCTATAGTCATGTCTCTAATTTTCATTTTAATAAAGCTATTGCTACTTCTTGTAAAGCACAAATCATCAGTAATGTCAAAAGTAATATTGATATATGGCATTGCCAGTTAGGTCATCTGCCTATTTCAAAGTTGTCTGCCATTCATAAACATATTCCTGATATCAAATTCAATAAATTCTTACATTGCTCCATCTGTCCTTTGGCCAAGCAACATAGACTCTCTTTTTCCTTTAGTGAAACAAGAGCTTCTAAGGCTTTTGATATCATTCATTGCAATATTTGGCGGCTACACTCCTTCTTTAATGGATCTCAATACTTTCTCACTGTAGTTGATGACTATAGTAGAGTTACATAGACATATCTAATACGAAATAAGTCACAAACCAGACCCATTATTTGAGCCTTTTACTCTCTCATTCAAACACACTTTCAAAGCAATATTAAAACATTAAGGTCTAATAATTGTGCAGAGTTTCTAATGGCTGATTTCTTTCATTCTAAAGGGATTTTGCATCAAGTCAGCTGTGTTGAAACTCCACAGCAAAACGGGATTGTTGAGAGGAAACATCAACACCTCTTAAACATTGCTAGAGCCCTAAAATTCCAAGCCATTTACCACATAAATTCTGGGGTGACTGCATCCTCACTGCCACACATCTTATAAACAGAACCCCATTTCCATTCTTGTTGATAAATCCCCATTTGGCTGTCTATGTTATGCTGCCACCTTGAAAAGAAACAGATCAAAGTTTGATCCCAGAGACACACCCTGCATTTTTCTTGGCTATCCTTATGGTATGAAAGCTTATAAACTATATAACCTTCATACCAATACAACCTTTCATTCCCGAGATGTTATTTTCCATGAAAGCTTCTCCCATTTCATCATCTTTCTTTCCTTCAGTCCTTATCCAATTTTAAAGATTCCTCACAATTTAATCAAATTACCTCTTCAACTCAGCTATCTTCCTCTCATGATATTCTCACTTCTCCTCCACCTTATGTTTCAGTTGATGTATCTATTTCACCTTCTTCTCATTCCAACTCTGAACATTCTTCTACTACTCCAATTCCTTCATCTATGGTTCCATCTTCTCCACATTTGATCTCTATTCGAAAGTCAAAAAGGACCATCAGACCACCTTCTTATCTCTTGGATTATCACTCTAATCTAGCTTCTCAGTTACCTACCTCTACATCAGACTCTTTAGGCAAATGTCTTTTCTCAAATAAGCAATATCCAACATCAGATCATCTTGCTTATACTCAGTTGTCTCCTACACATAAACATTATGCATTGGCTCTATCTACTGTGTTTGACCCTCAATCTTTTGATGAAGCATCCAAGCATCCTAAGTGGTGTCTTGCTATGGATTCTGGATTATAAAGCACTTGTTTCAAATCAGACCTGGGATGTTGTTAATCTCCCAGACCATAAGAAGCATGTAGCCTGTAAATGGCTATATAAAGTTAAACTTCATTCAGATGGAACTGAGGAGAGAAAGAAAACTTGCCTAGTTGCCAAAGGTTTTACTCAATAATCAGGCTTGGACTACGAGGAAACTTTTTCCCCTGTGGCAAAATTGGTAATGGTTAAAACCTTGTTGGCCGTTGCAACTCAATTACAGTGGCATTTACACTAGTTGGACATAAGTAATGCCTTTTTCCATGGTGAATTGCATGAAGAGGTGTACATGATGATGCTTCCAGGTTATGAGCAGCATGGGAAAAATGGAGAACGTCTCATTTACAAGTTAAACAAGTCCATCTATGGACTTAAACAAGCCTCAAGATAGTGGAACACTAAGCTTACTTCATATGTCCAGTTACAAGGATTTCAGTAATCAAAGGCTGATTATTCTTTGTTTAGCAAACATAATGGCTACTATTTCACTGTTTTATTAGTTTATGTAGATGATATTATAATTGGTGGAAATGATCTGTCATACATTGATCAATTCAAGAAGTAGTCAAATGATCAGTTCAAGCTAAGGGATTTAGGGGATTCTTAAGTATTTCCTTGGACTTGAAATTGCTAGGACTGCAAAGGGCATTTCTATATGTCAAAGAAAATATGCCTTGGATGTTTTATCTGATGCTGATTATTTAGGGGCCAAACCTATAGCAAATCCTCTTTCACATAATCTGAAATTAAGCAAGGATGAAGGAAGCAATGTGTTGGATGTTAGTGTGTATAGGAGGCTGGTGGGAAGATTACTCTACTTAACCATAACAAGGCCTAACCTTTCTTATGTTGTACAATTGCTGAGCCAGTTCTTATAATCACCAAAGCAGCCTTACATGGAAGCTGCTCATCATGTTCTAAGATACTTGAAAGGTACACTAGGACAAGGTTTAGTCTTTGAAACTAAACCAGAATTGTAGCTCAAAGGTTACTGTGATGCAAACTAGGCAACTTGCTCAGACACTAGGAGGTCCATTACTGGTTATTGCATCTTCTTGGGGAACTCCTTGATATCATGGAAATCTAAAAAGTAGCGTACGGTATCAAGATCCTTTACTGAAGCAAGTACAGATCAATGGAAGTTGCTGTATGCGAGTTGAATTGGTTGAAAAATCTGCTAATTGATTTAGGTGTGAAGCAATCAAAGGCAGCTCTACTATTCTGTGATAATCAGTCTGCCATTCACATATCAAGTAATCCGATTTTCCATGAAAGAACAAAGTATATTGAGATTGATTGTCATTTGGTTAGAGACAAAGTTTAAGCAGGTGAAATAAAAATGTTATATATAGCATCTCAAAATCAAGTTGTTGATTTGCTGACAAAAGCCATTGGTGGAACTAGATTCAAACTGTTGTTATACAAGATAGGAATGTTGAATATATACTCCTCATCCAGAGGGGAAGTGTTGAGCCAATTTTAGATGAGGTTATTTATGTACTTGTGTAGATACTCATTCATTCATAAGGCGTGGAGTTGCTATCCATTTTGTATATATACATGTGTTAGCTAAAACCAATTTGTAATATAGAGAATTTGATTCTTAATAGAATTTCCCGCCATTTCCTTTCTTCATCTTTTACAATTCTCTGCAACTCCTCACTTTTGTCTTTCGGCCCTTACCGCATCAGTTTCTCCATTTATAGGTTTCGGTAATGGCGCCAATTCCGGATCAAGTATGTAAAAGATCTTCAATGCTGTTAGTAGGAACTTCAATTTATCTTACCATCTCGTGAAGTTCGTGCTATCGAAACGTTCCAACCGAACAAGGTCTTAATTCATCAACTTAATTGTTGCCATCGTGCTTTCGTTCTCCATCGAAGAGTTTTAGTTTGAGATTGTTGGGAAACTTGATGACTTCCACTTGAGGGATCGGAGAACAAAGCAACGAACTAAACACCAAACCAGGACATGGATGTAAAAAACAAACACCAATGGTTTGAACACGATATCGTTGTCCTCAAACTATATTTGCCCCCTCTTGGATTTAAATAATGATGTAGGAATTAAGGCAAATTGTTTGCAGGATTTAAACAAGCCTTTAAAGGATTAACACTCAAGCAATAAGTGTAATCCTTCAAAACTCAAGAACACTAAAGAAAATTTCGGATATGAAGAAGAAAGTATTGATTTCTATGTTTTGGAATGATTTCTTTTCTCAAAATGTGGCTATAGTTTTTTGTATGTTTTCAATAATGTTTTATTGATCACAAACCACCTATATATAGCCTAGAAACAATGCCATACGAAGTGGTACCAAAAAACTCTCCAAAAGCCACCAAAATTTGAATCAAACGGTCAAATAACGGTCATTTTTTTCTTCTATGCGGTCGTATAGGCTAATCCTATGCGACCGCATAGTTGATTTCATACCGGGGTCATTAGTCATGGTATAGGCCTATGCGACCGCATAGTACTATGCGGTCGCATATTTCAACTATGTGGCTCCAAATTTCATTTCCACTCTACATCATTTCACATCCGAATTTTATTAATTTTGAATAACATTTCGATACTTCAGGCATGGATTTTCCGTGGCTTTTTCTTAAAGCCACAATATCTGTTATTAGTCTTCACCAACGAAAAATTAGCAACCTCAAATCCATTGCTAATTTGAAGGTTGCTGATAGTTATCGACGGATTGTTCATAAGTAAAGTATAAACCTTTCCCCAACAAAATCTCCGTTGATAAAAATATTACCATTACCATTACCAATTGAATTTCCGTTGGTAAAAATATTGCCATTACCAACCGAATTACCGATGGTAAATGTCTACAATTACTCATCCAATATCCATTGGTAAAAATATTACTGTTACCAACTGAATATGTAAAAACTATTGTCATTACCAACTAAATTTTTGTTGGTAAAAATCTTACCATTACCTTAACATACATGTTCATTATCTACGGATTTTTGGTATCTAATGGGTTATGCATACCTACGAAAAATTTGTAGGTAATAAAAGTACTTTTTTCGTAGGTGAA